TTATCCTGGCAAAGATGTAATTGGATCGAGACACGTGTTTAAGTTTTTTTTTTCTTTTTACAAATTGTCATACTTTACGAAGACACGAACGAATGAATCTTTTTTTAATTAAGTTTTCGTAAATAGATATACAATTCGAATCGTATCAAAGAAAATATCTTCTTTTCTACAGAAGATGGAATTAATTTTCGACTTGTTAGCGGTAAAAATTATATTCGGCAATTTCATTCTCTTTTCCTCTTTCCTTTCCACCACATCCTCTCCTAAATATTCCGATACGCACAACCTCTCGACTTTCCCCGTGAAACGTAGCCCGTAGTTGTTCATTTCCTCTCGATATAACCATTAACGATTAACGGGCATAGCTATTGCCACGATATTCCTTCGAGTATATCCGGGAATCCTCGTCGATGGCCAAGTTTCGCCGCACATTAAGTCGAGGACGCGACCGACTCGGTCTGCGGTCTGCGCTTCCCTCAGCCGCATGCTGCACCGAGCGGATGTGCAGCGCGCGACGGCTGCAGCCGCAATGCAACACGCGCGCGCGTCCCAAGGTGAACGTCCGCACCGCCAGGAGGCAGCGTGTACATCGACCACCAGGAAGAATCCGCGAAACGGTTGCCTCAGGATTGGAAACATATATATATATATATATTGCGGCTCGAGAAAATACAAGAAAGGGAGAGAAAGGGAGGATCGTCGTATGTCAAATATGAAATCACGAAACGAAGAATGAAGAAAGGGAGGGAAGAAAACAAAGAACGGATGGGAAGCAAAATCGTCAATTTGATATTTTATAGGTGAACGTTTACCAACTGAAATTCAACGATAGGAGAGCAGCGAGTAGATTCGTGTAGTATTTTGCGATTCAATGTTGGCAGATTGACTTTAAAATCGAAACTGCTCGATCACCGTTCCGGTGCGCTTCATGCCTGGTAACTCTTTCGAAACTACGTATAATCCAGCATGGTTCGGGGTATAACGGATGATAGTTTAATAAAAGTTGAAGAAATTGCAGAAAAGCTATTTACATTTTAAAACGGTGTTCTTACCGTGGGTGAACTCTCGTCTATACGAGACTAAACTAAATTTTTTAACGTTTACCGTTTCGTCGAAAGATTTATCTTTTTTTTTTTTTTAATTAATTCTATCCATCTTTAAATGATAACTTTTCTACTTTGCAGCACTCCGCATCGTAACTTTCACCGACCGGTGTTTTCAGTCATGACTCTTCGACCAAACTGAAATCCCACAAATCCCGCAGGGGGTGCAAAAATCAGTTGGAACGAATCAATTTTCCCGTCCGCTTCACCGTCTCCCTTCGGACAGAGCGCGTTCACCCGCAAAACAGAGGCCAAGTGCATCGACCTGCCATGTCACAAACAGACTTCTCGAATATAGAAGAGCTTCCTGATCGGACTCTATACACACGCGATTCCGCGAGATGACGAGTTTCGACCACCGTGGAAACACGTTCGTGGACAACGAAAAGCATTTTTCTGGCTTGTTCACGTTCCCTGGACATCGAATCCTTTCGCCGCACAGTTGGAACGCGGAATTCCGCCCCATACAGAGCGACTTGCCGGTCACAACGGGCCGAGCGGAGACGTCAATTTGCCTTGGCACAATGGCCCAATCAGAACGCAAACACCCGGCAACGGGTTTCGTGTTGCATTTTAAATCGTTTTGACTCGCGTTTTGCGTCATCGTTGTTCCTCCACGCTTGTCGACGATTAGCTTTTACTCGAAAATCACGCGGGTTCTCGGGTTGAAAAATTTACGCTGCTCGACGACGAAGATCGAAGTTTTTTTCTTCTTTCTCTCTTTTTCTTTTTTATATTCGGAATTGGATTGTAGCGAGATTTATGCGTGAGTTTTTCCCCGTCCCCGAGGTTTCGCTCAGTACCGAGTCGAGGATTAATTAAGGGGCGTTAATTAAAATTCGCCAGAAAATGTAAATCAGACTGGCTCTCGCCAGCTTGTTGTTGCACCACCGGCTGATCGCGATGGGCATCGATTTTATTAATTTCGATGCTCCATCGAGAACCATTTTCGACCTCTACCACGATGTAAATTTATTTTTGCAATTGTTTCCGCTCGACAGATAGTACATAGGAAAGAAAAATGGATTTTCGTGGCTGTTTGGGTTGACGCATAGCATCAAAAATCGACATCTTTCCGATCCAAATAAAATGTTAAAATATTATAAACATTGTCGAGATTATCAATTGGTTTTGAATTTTATTTTTTTGAAACGAAAACGATAACACGAGATATGCGCACGAATCTTTTTTTCGATTCACCGAAATGACGAAATGATCAAATTTCCGCATGAATATTAAACGATAGACGAATGTTGGAAAGAACGACTCACCTTTCATTCCATTACCAAACGTGGATCGATATCGATCCGCTTGTTAGACCGACTATATTAATACCGACTGCAACTAGCTTTATCCAATCTAAAGTTATATTTCCAAAGGCATTTCGTCAAATTCTTTCAATTTGATATGAAACTTATCCTTATCGATGTACATAGGATCATATACACGTTTCCGGATTATATTCTTCTTATAGATCTTCTCAGGATGCTCGCAAAATCATACGGCAAGAACGTTAATTTTATCGTGGGTTCGATCCATGAATTCCATCGTCTCCCTACTTCGCCTCTTCTTCGAGGGCAACGAACGCCTCCATTTTTCTGTCGACCTGGGGATCTTCTTAATCGATAACTGATTTACGAAGCGGTGATTGAAAGAAACGGGACCTAATTATTGGAAGAGTTGATCGAATTAAACCGCATAATCGCGTCTCCATGATTTAACGATGTTATTTGCGGTATAGAGAGAGAGGATTAAAAAAGAGAGAGAAAGAAAAAAGAAGGAAAGAAAGCCAATTTACAGATAACGCGTATACACGAATTTCTCTACATCCTCGGTATCGGAACGTTGGAGGACTAAGCTTCGATGGTACCGCTTTATTCTCTTAAAGATGTTCTTCGAGCTTTCTCCCACGCAATTACGCTTAAGTAGCCCGAACAATGGCGAAGGAAAAAAGAGAAAGAGAAAAGTGCTTCGACTCACAATTTGCCCGGTTAAATCCGTTACGAGTCGTCCTCGATTACCGACACGGCACAAAATCGAACTGGATAATGGGACCAAGTGTCTCGGATACGGAAACACGAAAATTTAATTCGAAGCTATTCAGGAACAGAAATTTGCAAAGGAAAACTGGAGCCGAGATTTTCTTTAATTATTTCGACGCGATTTAAAATCGATTCGAACCGCGATAAAGTCGATAAACTGATCGACAAGGTGGATCAGTTTGCTTCGCGGAAATGGCTCGTGTTCTCTTTTTAAGAACAAATCCACCAGTCGAATCAAGAAAGAATTGTCCCAGATTTAATCGACAACGATCTCCTTTTTTTTTCAGGGGCGAAAAGATAAGACATTTGGAAAGAGAATGGAAATGTATTTTCGCCCGTTTCCTTTTTCCCTTAAGAAACAACGATCACTTTGGTTGTTCCATCGGTTTTTAGCCCAACCGTTTATCGTATCTTAAATGAAAACGTATACTCTAAAATTTCGTGTAAATTGAAAAAAATTCATAATCGTCGAATATACATAAACTCTGTGATGCGTACGATAAAATTAATCTTGTCACGTTCTCTTAAATGAAAACACGTTCCTCGCAGATTTTAAACAAAATTGAAAAATTCACTATCGTCGAGTAAATCCATATTTTCATTCTATATTCAAAGATGTATAAGACAGTTAAAATTAAGCTTGTTAAGTTTGGGGAATGGAACGGCGTCTCGAAGCAATTCGAACGGAGAAATCCAAAGTTCCGGCGGAATTAGTCCCTCGAGACCGGCAACAAGACCATCGAGATGCAACGAGTTTGACAAAAGTTCGAAAATACGAGGCTTCCTGTTCGTTGGCCTGGGATATGGAATGGCTCGTGTGGCGTGCCGTGCAATCGCATTGTAACGAAAGATCGTTCGGGCGGAATCGATCTCATTTGTAGCGGCGGTATCCTCGATGAAAATACGCACGCTACATTACGACGCGAATCGATAAATTTTCCCTATGCTTTCATCATCCACCAACCCTCCCCGATTGATTCGTCTTGCATCTCGATTTCTTCGTGGAGACTCACCACGTAAGATGATCCAACATTTACATCCAAACTCTGTATTGTGTATATATTTTAAAAATCGTATGGAAGATACGAAGATAACAAAGATCTCAAATAATTAACATTAACATTAATCCTCAAGACGTGGACAAATTTTTGCTAACCATTCGTTGATAAATCTTTTTTTCACGTTGAAAATTCACGAGCAATTTCTTGCTTGTCTTGAGAAAAATATATCGAGTTTTGAAATATATATGCGATATTGATCCGTTGCAACGATACATCCACTAAGATTCCATTAAATTATTTGTTATCATCGGATACATCCACTCTTTCTATCTAAGAATTAAATTTTGTCAAGATTCTTAAAAATTCTTCGATACGTGATAATCAAGAAAAATACTGCACTATTATTTGATTTCAAAACATTATTCCCGCAATGTGTACAGTAATCCCAATCAAAGAAAAATCCACATCTCGCTGTAGCAAAAGTTTACACCAGAAATCTTAAGATTAATTCTTTCTTGTTCGATTAAAAGAATATTTATCAAACTTATCGAGTTAAATACACGGAAAAGCGATTCTCTTTTTTTCCTCCATTGGTTTGGGTCGCTCGATTGGCCAGAATCTTCGAATCGAAGATCGTAGATTGGCTCGAAGGAAGCAAATCGTCCTCGTCGTCGTCGTCGTCGTCGTCGTCCTTTCCCTTCTTCATAGCCGCGTAATCATACTTTGGAAAATCAATAACGGCCAATTGTCGTGGAAGGAGGATTCTTAAATCGTCGAGAAAACAGTTAACGGACGATATTTCTGCCGAAGGTTGTACCCGAAGAGAAGAAGGGATATTCTTATACCGACTCGACCGATCCCTCTGGAGTAGATAGGGTAACGAAGGGTTTCCTGATTCGATTCTGATTATTAGCGGCCGAGAACCGAGCCCCGAGTTTGTTCAATTGGCTTTATTACGGCTGTTTCGTAATTATCCCGCCTCTTATTACATCGGTTTGCTCGCGACAAACATCGATAGACACTCGTTCGGCTCGTGGAAAACTTGTCGAATCTCAAATAGTTCAACGATCTCCGTTTCCTTATCAATATTAACGCCGTATCGCGAGATGAAAGCTCGAGACCTTTGTACTATTGGCGGCAGAGACATCTTCTTGGAAATATTAATTTTTAACGGATAGACGAATATATAACTCTAATCGATATTGACCGAATAATCCGATATTCAGCCATTGCATGAATAAAATGTATAATATTAACCTTTTGCGGTTTCAGATATTCTATTGATCGGAATTATTTCGAGAGAGGCGACACGACGAGACGCTTCCTGGTAAAAGCCACGCGTTTTGCCTTTCCATTTTGATTACCATGTATGAAACAGATCGCGATAGATCGTAAGAGCGTTCTGTCGGTCCGTGTTTAGCTCAAGTTTCAACCGCAAAGGGGTTAGAAAGAAAAATTCCAATAAAACTACGAAAGGACAATTTAAACGATACCCACTATCGTAATACGAGACGTTAGTCACATCGTTTATTAGTGAAATAGTCTCCCCTCGAAGAAAACTTTAACGATTTTACAGATTTACCACGGTTCAATCTCAACCGAAGCGGCAAAACAATATCCTATAACAGAGGATGGCGAACGAAAACGCTGGCGTGGCTCACGTTAATTTCGCGCGTTTCTCGTGCGAAAAGACACAGGGAGAACACGAGCACGACAGAAATTATTCCGGCTGTGTAACGGCAGCAGCGCGTGTAGTATATTCGAAACGCGAGCCAGGGACGTACATTCGACAGAATGTACCGAACTCGAAGCCGCGTCGGAACCAAGAACGTGACACGAACAGGTGAGTGCTCCGTCAACATCGATAAATTCTATGCGGTTCAGGATGCAGCCTGTTCCCGATCCGAGATGCCTCTGTTTTCAAAGACGCGGTCGAAATGCGCATGCAACCGAGCGAACCGGGGAAAGTCGCGTAAGAAAAGATCATTTCGGTATAAAACCCAAGAATTTCAAGGTGATTTTTCGTGAAAACTCACCGACTAACTAGTTCGCGAACCAATTTTTTCTGGAACAAAGAAGGAATATTGGATGAAGAGAAATCGTCTTCGAGTAACGATGGAGACGCTTAAGAATATTCGGAAACGCTGTTACGTTCGAATTTCTCGAACAAAGTTTGAAAAAGCGAAAATTTCGTTTCGAGTCGAGAATGAGGAATTTGCAGAAGATTCACGCCTCTAGATTTTGGATTTATCGGTGAATAATATGTCGATCGACGTCATGATACAGCGTATAGCGGATTCGCTGTTTATTCGCAAAATGTCAACGTTGATCGTGCAGGGAGAGTTGTTCAATGAAACGAGCGTAATTTGTTCGGTCAAATGAGACACGCGCAATTGATCGAGATACGTCAAAAAGGCATCGAATCTGCAAGGTATGCCGTGCATCGTGGTGGATGGATATAATAAAATCAACTGGAATGTTTATTTTTGTGTGGCGCTTGCACGCCGCCTCTTTTCATCCCTCTTCTCTGGTGGGAAAATTCATCGAGCGAGGGAGGAGACATCGCGCGATTGGTGACGGCCGTCGTCTGTTATTTAACGGTGCGACCACTTGGTCGACGAATCAAAATAAAAAATGTGGGGGAGGGGAGGGAGAATGAAGAATGGAAAAAAATACGTTCCATCGTGCAACGTTAATACAGAGGTTGCCTTTCTTCTCTTCTCTGTCTCTCTTCCCCCCCCCCCTCATTGAAACGTATTGAAAAAGTAAATATATAAAAAAGAGAACAGTAATCAACAGGAACAGGGTGAATAGATTGAATTAAAAAAGCGTAATGTGACTTTTGTGTCAAAGCATTCGTTGATGTATCTACGATTCGATTGAGAGTTTTTTTTTTTAATAAAAGAAATTTAACATCAAAAATTAACCAATCTCTCGGTATAAAAAATTCGATACACAGTTATATGAAACACCGATGGTCTCGTCTATATCGAATTTGTTTCACTATTCCACTCGTCGATAACGCTTATTTTGCAAAAATTGATATTTCCACAAAAGTTACTTTTTTTTTCACATATTCTCACGATCGGTGGAAAATCAATGATAAAAACCGATGGAAAAAAAATTGATTCTTCCACATCGACGACTAACACAAGTATAAAAAAAAAGGAAAATAAAAAAGGAAAGGGGAAAAAAGGAACAAAGAAAAATGGAGGGTAAGGAACGTACAAGGATCGCGTGATAACGTGGAAATAGCGAACGAATAAAAATCTGGACGTCATCTATGTGTGATAGAGAAAAAGAGATCGAATTCACCAGATAAAAAATTGCGCTCACATCCATGCTCATCGAGCCTTGTTTTCCGGTCTTTTGAGCAAACCAGGCAAACGTTCCGCTATGACTAGGTCGTCGTAGTTGCGGATTCCCTCTTTTCCATCGAACAGGAACTCCAGTGGAAATTCAGGATGCCAGGAAAAGAAAATATCGATCTATCGAAGTAGATAAATCGTTCGCAGTGTCAGCAAGTGTCGTGTTGCTCTTCGAAGAATTAGTCAAGATTAAGATTAGTAGCTCGATAATTAATCTCTTCAGGCCGATGGAATCATCTTATAATCTGATCGTTTAATGCATCGACTACACACGATAAGGAAAATTTTTTTCGATATTTTTATTTTTTTTTAGATTGTATACTAAAGATTCTTTTTAGAATTATTTCGAAACTGCGTAATCTTGGAGTAATCGATCTTTCTCTAGGATGAAGACACACTGTTAATTTCTTATCAATACAACGAAAGAAATACTCAACAATTTAATCTTGTTAATACAGCTAACAAAATAATACGATTTAAAAGTACGTTGTAAAAGTTTTTTATTATTTATCTGTATTTTATTCGTTTTACTTATATTTTATCCTTGCACTTTCTTTTCATAATTTTATAATTTTTATATATAATAAGATATTGTGACGAATCAAAATTTATAAATTTTACTTTCGATCTTATTTCTTAATTAAAGAACTCATTACCATTACGCAACAACTTTCACTAATATTTACGTAACATATAACTTCAATGAAAGCGAAGCAGAGATCAATAACTTTTCATTTACAACTAAAAATCTACATAATTCGATCAACAAGATCACAATCATTTCCTTAAAAAAATTATATTACAATGATTCGTATTCCTAATTTCCGCGACAATTATCGAATTATATCTTTCGTTTAGAAAAAAAATTTAAAGCGAAGAATTCCATCTTTCGTTAGATGGACAATTTATCCCTCTAGAGAGAATCGCGAGACATTTTTAAATCCCGTTCCAAAAACTATCCCCCCCAATCCGATCGTGGACAAAATTTTCACACTCTCCACTGCGGGATGGCACGTTTTGCCGCATTTTAGCTAGATGTATCTTCCGGTTCGGCGCGAGGTAGAAATATGGGAGTGGGAATTAAGTTTGGCTCGAAATCGTCGAACACCCCATCCCTCTCACGTTCGTCCTCCCCCTTTGCATCCATCCCTAGCGGGTTCCGACGGAGCCGCTTGCGTAATGTCTGCTGTCACGAGGCGTAACCATTCTTGTCGATCAACCATCGCGAAACGTGTTAATTTCCTCGACTAACCGTCCCTCATCACGATCCCTCCGTCCTGTTTTATCTCTCTGGGTCGAGGGTACGAGTGTTTGACCGGGGTGTGCATGGCAGTGAATGCGAGGGATGAAACGTACCACTTGATTTGATTGGTGGATTTTGAGAATTAATCGTGGTGTTTCGCGGAATAATAGAGAGAGAGAGTAGTGTAATCGGAGGAGGGAAGGATCGTTAATAATAAGGATCAAAGTGTGCATAATTACGTTGCAGTAGCGTTTAATCTTTTTAATTAATCGAAATTTCGACGAAAGAAACTGTGTTTTTTAAAAAAAGTGAAACATTTCAATGCCGGGCGAGGTTACGCGAGCTGTGTATTTACGGGGGAAAAATGACAAAGGACCGGCGCAGTCTATTTTTATGAGTTTCACACGTGGCTCGACAAATTCCCTGACGAGTTTGTTCCGAGTTATGCATCGGTGTTTCTGTCGAGTAGGTAGAAACGATTTGGAGAAGTTCCGCGGCACGAGCGGAAGCGAAAGGGAAATTGTACAGTGGCTAGGGAGAAATTGCAAATAAAAGGCAGATCCGAAGTCGTTGTTTTATCGCAAACTTTTTATTCGACGATAGAATAAAAGGAATAAAGAAACGATCGATCCGGACGCGACTGCAGTAGCGGGATTGTACAATGTGTGACAAAGATAAACGAGGCGAAAACGCGATGGAGAACAAAGGGAGGGGAGTGGAAGCAAGAAATTCGAAAAAGAAAGCCCGTTTGGCAACGTTGTGTCCAATTTCACTGATTAAAAAATCATCGATAGCGGAAACGGACGTGGAAAGGAAAACCTCGAGCGACGCATTCAGTTTACCCGGATTGTTCCATGCCTGTGTGGAATCCGAATTCGCGGACATCGGCGGAGTACAGGGGGATGAGAGACGACCGAAAAAGAGAACACAGAGAAATCGGGAGGGGTGTAGGCGCGCAAACAAGTGGAAGAAGGCACGAACAGAGGGGAAAAAAAGAGATGCCAATTAAAGGGGAGAAGAGAAAAGCGAGCAGAGATAAAAAAAAAAAAGAAGAAACGTGGAAAATGGAAGGAAAAATCAGAGTAACCGACTCTGCAGAAAACTGTTTAAACGAAACACGGACAGGTCGAAATCTAGTCTGGTCATAGTCGAAAGAAATCGTTTTTTTTTTTGCTCGTTCTCCATTCTTTTTTCGCGCACCAGCCAACTCTGATTCATGATACGGGATCAAGGAAAAAAAATTGGACGGTATTTCGAGAAGAGAAATCCGTACGAAAAATTAGTCGTATAACTTTTTTGCAAATTTTCATTCATCGATGAACGATATTTCAAGTTATGAAAAAAAAAAAAAATAACGATCGCGTCGATTGGAAACAATATAAGGGAACGAATAAACGATGAACAGTGAGAAGAATATTTATCCCGAAACACGAAAAAAAGTATTGATGATTTGGCTCGAGACGATGAAATTCAGTCAATTGAATCGATCAACATTCGCATTCCTTTGAACTGGCTCTTCGAATATTTTCGTCTTCGCGCGCAAATGCTGAACAATTTCTTCATACTTGACGAATTTCCACGGTGTGCAGACGGCCTTCTCAGACGTTAATTCATCGATATCGAATTCTTGATTTCGGACGTCTATTTTCGTGCTTCGACAAATATCATGTTCCACGATAATCGCGAATGTCTGTGAATCGGAATCATTTCGAAGAATCTTCGATGTGAATAATTTTCTATTAATTGAAACACTTTCTTGACGAGACGATTTCGATGAAACGAATGCATTTTGATCGACCGTGTTGATTTGTAAGTTGATTTTAATCTAGATCATTCTTAATACTATTGCGAGACCGAAATTATTCTACGTTATATTCCATCCAAAGTTGGTCTTGATCGATGGAAGAGAAAAGACATCAAAGTGATGCAGGTTCGTCTATGTCTTGGTTGCCATGGCGACACCAATCAATGAATGAAATTGCATTTGCATCTCTGCTGGCGTCATCCAGCTTTCCGGTCCAACTTCTCCACCCTATATAGGCCAAGACAATTTACCAGATGAGGCAATCCGAGATCACGCAAAACGAATAAACAAGAGTCGAGGATGAAGGGATGTTCTTCGAAATATCGTCGAGAGTTACGCTTGATTTCGAGCTTGGAACAAGGTAAACACCTCCCGAGTGTCGTAACCGTGAAGAAGGATTTCTATGCTTGGAAGATTGATGAATTTATCCTGCAATACGGTACATGATGCAGCGAAAAACGATGTTAGCCTAAGATCCGAGAGACCTAATATTTGTTTGGATATTTTATCAAGGGCTTGAACGAATTCGATGCAATGCTATCGACACTTTGGAGGAGAGGTAAAATGAAATGCATTGTATAGCGAGCACGTGTCGTGCAACAAAAATTTGTTGTATGGCGGTATGCAATTGATGTTTCAACATTTTTCAACGTTTCCACGTTGAAACGCTCTTTTTTTGTAGGGAAAAAATAACCAGGCAGGAAAGTATGATCGTGTGTACGCACATTTTTGACAAAAATTTCAAAAATGAGAAACATAAATACGGAATAAACTTAATCTTTACAAAACAAACATAAATATCACTGAACTATTGTATAATTCAATAAATATTACTTTTCCAGTAATATTTAAAATAATTTTTAGAATAAAAATGGATAGCATGCTCTTTCTCCAGTTTTAAATCCATTCGAATGTTACTTGCGGAGACACTTGAAATCCGTTGTATACGCAACGCCTATTGAAAACGTTGAAGTACTGTGTAACAATATTGAAGGCTCTCAACAACTTTCAATAATGCCAGAAGTATTGAAAAAGGAGCCGAACATTACGATGAGGATTATTTTTGCAGACAGTACGAGATAAATCGAATAACAAATCAATAAAAAATTATCACTTGAAGAATTTAAAATGCGAACATAATTTAAAAATCTTTTTTTTTTTTTTAATTTAAATTTTCAAATCAATTCAATTAAAACTATTTAAATGAGTTAAACTTATCAACTTTTTTTGTCAAACAATGAAAAGATTCTTAACTATTTTCAGAAAAATCTGACCAATTGTGCCTTTTGAATTATTTATTCAATAAGAACAACCTCCACGTTTTCATCACTGACTCGAAATAAAAGTGAGATCAGAAATCTCTTACTTTGATCTTATATAGCACTTCTAAAATTGATAACATCCTATCCCAGAGAAAATTCTGGGATAAAATCTTACCATCCCTTCTAACCTAACTTGGAAACAGAAACGCGCAACTCGGACAGAACGTACGTTTTCGTACATCGACTTTCTTCAACTGCGAGCAATAAAAAATTCACAAGAACGGTCTGATTACTCGGAGTTCGATCGTCGTAGAAAGCACGAAAACCTATGTCGCGTCTCGACTTAATAATATAACGCGAATTAATAATTTCGCGGCGTAACTCGTGCGAAATTCATTCGTGTAAAATGGAGCAACGAGGACAACAAAAAAGAAAAAATCAAAGGCCACATACGATGATACCTACACATCCCATAGTGTCGTCTCCCTTCTTTCCGCTCACAAACAACGGAAATTCAAAAATGCTTTAATAAGACAAATTCCTTACGCGCGAACAGATTTGGAAGAGCGAGAAAAGAAGAGAAAAAGAGACGAATGTGGAGTGCCTTCGTTTAATAATCGCACGAAATGCGCGAGACTGTTCGCGTTTATACAAGCTGATCAATAAATGGTCTTTGTCCCTCTTGATTCTCGACTGTGCGTGGACCGGTCGGTTCGAGAATACCCGAGGCGGAATTTAGAACGGTGGTGCAGAACTGCGAACGCATGAACCGTGGAATAAGGATATTCTCTGGCTGCGGCACGCAAACGCGCCGGCTCGCTTGGAAAACACACAGCCCACGGCGAAATAACGCGGCAACCGTGTTAAACTTTACTCGCGGACCCGCTTTCAGGGTGAAGGAGATTGCACTTTTTTTTCCGAGACACTTTTCAACGAGTTCATCTTTCCGACATGGATGAAGGATAAAGGGATGATTGCTGGCGAGTTAATTTGTGTTATTCGATTGAATAAGAAAGAAAAGGATGAATTGGATGGTAGAGGGATAGCTGAGTGGATAGTTAGAAGAAAATTAGAAGGAGGAATTAATTTTTTTTTTCTTTTAACAACGATCGTAGTAGTATTATAATGCAATATACGATCTTGTGATTTATCGACTATTGTTCACGAATAAGATGTAATAATTTCGATATTTTACGATTTTGTTAATTTTACGTAATGCGAAGAAAGGGGAAAATAGATAAAGTTTGGCGCGATTAAAGGTTGTAATTAAGGAACAGCTGCACTGAAATCAGCTGCAAACGAGCTGCTATTTTTCTTCTTAATTACGGGTATCGTTGCATTCGAATTGCACCTCAAAAATTTCTACGGAATTTCGTAGTGAATTCCACTACTGGCTGAAACTGTTTGGCTATTTAGAGAATGAATCGTCCATGAAAAGAATTCTACACGCCAGACTTTTGGAATCTCCGACCAGCCGAAGTACATGCGTACTCGGTTCCGAATACTCGAATGTGCGAGTGATTTACGTCTACTGCGAATAGCGTATGCGGACTACCATCCAAATTGGTGTAAAGGTAGAAATGCACGCGAAGGGAGAAAAAAGGAATGCGTCTCGAGATGTCTCGTGTCTCGCAAATCTCATTATGTAGCGACTGAACTTTTTCACGACGTGAAGAACTGTCGGCATTTCTTATTTTGCCAGCTCCCTTCTTCTCGGAAGTTCGACCAAGAAAATTTTAAATACGGGAAGAAAAAAAAGATCATTAATACTAATTCTGTTCTCGAAAAATATTTCCAGATTTCAAATATTCCATACATTCAATTTTTATTAAATTTCAGATATTTCAAATATTTCCAGCTTTTGATTGGAAAAGTTCACAGATATATATATACATTCGAATAATAATGAAAAATTTTACTTTAAATTTTGCGAAATTGTTACAATAATTCGATTCCGCTGTGTAAGAGAAATATAAATAGATAAACGAAGAGTCAGAGTGGACTTTCTTCGTGCGAAAACGATTCGAGATACTTCGAACGGAACGTAATGCCGGATACGTTTCGGTACGCTTGACAAATTGACGTCCAACTTGTACTGACTTTTTTTTTTCTTTTTAAACCTCTTCCCTTCCAGACTTAGCTAGCCCAGGTGACGCGAACTTAACGCATTATTTTACAAGAGAGTTCGAGCCGAATTGTACACTCGTTGCATTCGACGTCAGGGTTATTTCCGCGAGTAAGCAGAAACTATTTTCGACCTTTACCAGCTTGAACGATGCACAAAAACTTGAGATTTCATATTGTCGAAAGTATATACAGGGATAGAAAGCTGATAATAAATGCCTCAACCGTGTGTCGGCCTGTGATCGATCAAACTTGTTCATCCAGAAACGTTATTCGCGGAATCGTGCCGTCGTTTTTGCTTCGTTATTGGCGGCGATCGATGAAATCTACGTCATTGAAACGCGTCTCGTTAGCAAAAATCGCATTTTAATTAATGGAACAACAATTCAGAATCGTTTTATTTTTTCAATCATTTTTTCACGATATCGATATTTTCCTCCAATCTCGTTCATATCGATTCTCTAAGCAAAGAGATGGAAAGTTTACGATCCATCATTCATTATTGGACTATATGTGACATTTCATCCAAATATTCACCCATTACACGGCAAAGGCTCCAAGATGCACACGTTTAGGATACATTTAACCCTTTGCAATCGAAGCGTTAATTAGGTTGGCTTTGAGTTCTCGTGCTTTCCGATTAGCATACGACGATATAACGAGCTGGTTGTTTCCCCGTATCACGATCACGATACAACAATCGCTTTATTTGCACCTTTCGCGGATCGATGCGCCGAAATGTAGCCCGAACGTTCATAATTGATAGAAAAATTACACGGATTCGTAAATTATTCAGCGCGATTCTGGAAACTAGGACAAGATATGTTATTCATCCCCTATGATGCGGGTGAAAGAAATAGATATCCTTTATGAACTTGCTAACTTTGATATTTATGCAATTTACACAACGTTTACGTTAATCAATTTTTGAAAGATGGATAATCAATTTTTCACTGCACGAATACTATTTTTTCTTCGAGACGATGAAATATAAAGCATATAATTAGCATATAAGTATTTAATAAAGAATTAACATTGATATTGAATCAGGGTTATAACTCTAATATCGTTTCGATCCTACTTATTATTCTTGTGTTTTTTAATTTTAAAAATATTTTTATAACGTAAAAAATTCTCCAAAAATAATATTAATATAAGATTAATATAAGATTAGAAAATAGAAAATCAACGCGAATCTTAAAACATCGATCGAAACATCATCAATAATTGCAAAAGTGGCTATCGCAGCGGCGCATTACGCCAATGCGAAGTCATTTGCGTGAAGGTAATTAAGGTCGGACAAACGAAGAGGATCGTCCACGAAATTCGTCCTACAAAGAGAAGGATCCGATCTCTAATAATTCTCACACAGACAAATTTTTGATTAATTAGAGACTCTGGTCACGAGCCCTCGTCGTGTTCTCTCTTTATTATTAATCTATTATTTCAATTTGTTATTCCACATTCGATAAAATATACTAATAAAAATAATTATCTTTGCCACTCGAGGAAATCATCACAACCTTTAACATTCGTAAATCTCAACGTCGAGATAAAATCATCTATCTCCGAGTGGAAGAACGATAGATGAAAGGCGCCACTCTATTCAATGCACACCAATATAGAAAATCCTTTCGTACAAAGGAAGATTCAGCAATTTTCGACCCTTCTTCGACATATTCTTTTTCCATCCCTTATTTTACGCGGTTAAATCGCGCGATCAACGTAATTCCTTGCACGTCCTCACTTTGGAGAAGAAAGGCGAGCCGCTATCTAGAAACGATTTTTCGTCGGGAACACGATCGATACACCGGCACCGATTATCGACGAAACGATCGTTCCGATCGGTGTTCGTCTCTGGTACCACGCGTTTCCCTGATCGGTGGACACGAACGTTTCTCGGAACCCTCGTGTCCGAGTAATTGCTCCAACGACGTTCCTGCGTCGAGAGATCGGCAGAACTTCCTAATAACCAGGTAAGTAGCCGCTAATGGTACTCCACGGTTAACCGGTAGAACAACTCAATCGAACAGAGGAGTCCCCCCCGATCGATCGATCCTGTTTACGCGCGGACGCGATAATTGTCTTTCGCGGGTTAACGAGCTTGACAAGAAAGAAAGTGTCCTAATAAGTCGGAGGCTGATCGTCCTTAACCCTTTCGACTGTACTTTCCCTCGTGTAGCCGGCTCCAATTAGCCGGGTTGGTACATTTATCAGCTTTATCTGGATCATTTGTTTCTGGTTTCTGCAACGGAGAAGGGAGAAAAAAGTCCTTGCGAATCTTAATTCTTAAGTTTGGCGAATCGAAAACTCGAGAAAACAATTATCAAAATAATAATTTTAAACATTGTAATATATTTTTGTTTTATATATATATATATATATATATATATATATATATATATAGAGAGAGAGAGAGAGAGAGAGAGAG